GAAAAAAAACCCCACTCTATGTTTAAGGTTTACACCATAACATGGGGTTTCTTCAGAGCAGCAGGTTCAGGGCATCTTTGGGATGAGACGTCATCCATGTGCGTGTGGAGGAGGACAAGGGGCCAGCGCATGCTGCATTGATGCAACACTTAGGTCTTTCTCCTGCCATGGTCAGATGCCTCCCAGGAAGCCCTGGTGAGCAAACAGTGCTGTCAGGGACACCAACAGCATTTTGTACTGTCCCTTAATATTTTTTTTTTGTGGCTTGTGGCAACAGAGGAGCAATCAGTTTAGCAGCGGTCTGCATCGGAGAGCCCCTGTATTAAGCCTAGAAAGTGCATCCCCCCTGCTCACCCTGACTGAACTAATTAGCTTGTTTTCATTAAAACTGGCTGGATGGCCGGGCCCAAAGATTGGTGGTGAATGGAATTAAATCCAGTTGGTGGCTGGTCGGAAGTGGTGTCCCCAGGGCTCAGTACTGGGGCCAGTTCTGTTCAATACCTTTATCAATGGTCTGAATGAGGGGATTGGGGGACCCTCAGTAAGTTGACAGATGATACCAAGTTGGGTGGCAGTGTTGATCTGCTTGAGGGTAGGGAGGCTCTACAGAGAGATCTGGACAGGCTGGAGCCATGGGCTGAGCCCGACTGGAGGAGTTCCAGTAAGGGTGAAAGAAATGCTGGGTGTTGCCCTTGGGTCACAACAACCCCCAGCAGTGCCACAGCCTTGGGGCAGAGTGGCTGGAGAGCAGCCCAGCAGAAAAGGACCTTGGGGGGTGTTTGTTGACAGCTGGCTGAACAGGAGCCAACGGTGTGCCCAGGTGGCCAGGAAGGCCAACAGCATCCTGGCCTGTGTCAGCAATAGTGTGGCCAACAGGTCTGGGGAAGGGATCTGACCTCTGTGCTCGGCACTGGTGAGGCCGCACCTTGAATACTGGGTTCAGTTTTGGTGCCCTTGCTGCAAGAAAGACAAATTTGATGCTGGAGCGTGTCCAAAGAAGCAGCTGGTGAAGGGTCTGGAGCACAAGTCTTGTGAGGAGCAGCTGAGGGAACTGGGGGGGGTTAGTCTGGGGAACAGGAGACTCAGAGGAGACCTTATCTCTCTCTACAATTCCTTGAAAGGAGGTTGTAGCAAGATGGGGGTCAGGCTCTTCTCCCAAGGAACAAGCAATAGGACAAGAGGAAATGACTTCAAGTTGCACCAGGGGAGGTTTAGATTGGATATTAGGAAGCATTTCTTCCCTGAAAGGGTTGTCGAGTGTTGGAACAGGCTGCCCAGGGCAGGGGGGGGGAGTCCCCATCCCCGGAGGGGTTGAGCAGACGTGCAGACGTGGCGCTTAGGGACAGGGTTTAGTGGTGGCCTTGGCAGCGTTGGGTCAACGGTTGCACGTGATGATCTTAAAGGTCTTTTCTAAACACTCCTGTGATTCTGTGATTACTATCCTGCCGTCCTTCGTCTGCCTCTGTTTGCTTTTCTAAGCCATCAGAATATTAACGTTTTTACAAGAAGCCAGTGTTTAGAACTCAGGTTTCCGGTGAAGGGCCCGAGCACGGGCAGCGGCAGGCAGGACTGCCTTTCACCGCCCGCCAACCCTTGCCCTCCGCGGGGGACATCAACCCCTGCTCTTGCCCTGACCCAACAGGGCTTTCAAACCAAGTCATCCCTGTTATTTTTAGACCAAATGACATTTTTTGGCTTGTCAGCCCTGGCAAGTTTTGCTTTAAATAAACTACTTTTACAATAAAAAGAAACATTGAATGTATTACATCAAGGGCTTAACTCAAGCCAAGGATTTCAGCTAAGGCTGCAATGTTGTCCTTAGTTCACCTCTCTAGGGCATATGGTCACTCTTGCCAAGTTGTGGTCCCACAGTGGAGCATCCCGGTGGGACAGCTGACTTTACCTGCCATATCCCCACTCATTTTTTTAATTCAGCCACTGGGAGGAAAGTTGAGGACCTGTAAGAGCCACGCTACTTATAGAGACTCAGGTTTTAGTGCAAGCAAGTTAAACCTTCAAGAAGGTAGTTTAAACCCTGGGAAGCTCGTCTGAAACCTCAGCGAGCCCTTCTCACTCAGAGCAGATGATGCAGCACTTTTAGTTTTCCAGTCTAAATTTTTCAAGAGTTTGCTTTTTTTCCCCCTTCCTTATATTTGCTTTGGCATCTTTCCTTCTTGCAAATATGCCAAAGACACAGGGGATGAACTCGGATCCTTGGTCATGGCTTGCTGGCATCTGCTCAGGGTTTCAGATTTTGGTGGACGAGCTCTCGTGCCCGCAGCATTGATCGCCTGCTCTAATATTGCTAAAATGATTTCAGGAACCGTGTTTGCCTTAGCGCCGGTGACGCAAGCGTCAGCAGAACTGCCTGTGTGCCGCAGAAAGACGGGCTCTTTCCCTGTAGCACCGTGTTAAGTGCAGATATTTCATTTATTTTGGAGTAGAGGTTTTTTCAACGCTGAGCATAGAGGTGAGTCACTGGGGAGGTGGTGAGCCAAAATGTGTAACACCCTCCTGCACACCTCAGTCATAGGAGATAGCGGAGCTGGTAATGCTGGTTTTCACAGAATCATTGAATCACAGAATAGTTTGTGTTGGAAGGGACCTTAAAGCCCATCCAGTGCCACCCCCTGCCCTGGGCAGGGCCACCTTCCACCAGCCCAGGTTGCCCAAAGCCCCGTCCAACCTGGCCTTGAACCCTTCCAGGGAGGGGGCAGCCACAGCTTCTCTGGGCAGCCTGTGCCAGGGCCTCACCCCCCTCACAGGGGAGAATTTCTGCCTCAGATCTAAACTGAATCTCCCCTCTGTCAGTTTAAACCTGTTCCCCCTCGTCCTATCCCTCCCCCTGATGACGAGTTGTTCCCCCCCCCC